GACGCGCTGCAGACCTGGCAGACCAGCGAGTCCTTGTTGGCGATCTCGTTCTCCAGTTTGTCGTTGAGGTCGTGGACAGACGTGGCTTCTCTCTGAGCCGCTAGGTAGCGCTTCTCCAGCGTGGTGATCCTCTCCTCCATGTCTTCCTTCTGAGCCAGAGACTGAGAGAAACAACAGAAACACGCGGTCACAAACTGGCTCGTTCGATGCGCTCCTCTGCAGATGAAGGCTCTGTCGTACCTCTCGTAAGTCTCTCTGCAGGCGGCTGTTGATATCCTCGGACCTGATGAGGTCTTTGCGGGCCGTGTCCAGATCCTCCTCCAGCTCAGCGACGTGGCTGCAGAGAGACGCCATACGCTCCTTCAGGTGCAGGAGCTCCTTACTCTGTCTGTCCATCGCCTCCTGCAGCTCCCCGTCCTTCCCACAATCCTCCTCTGCGTCCATAGAGACGTCCGACAAGCGCTGCTGTGAACACACACCGTGCTTTACACTGGAATGTGAAGACTTCAGGAAACTGACAGGATGTTCAACAGAACGCTTTCGTGTGAATCATTTCATGAAAAAAAACATTATGCTTCTGTTTCTCAGGTCGAAGGAAAAGAAAGAAAGCCATGCTTGAACGTCAAGAAAATTTGATATATATATATTTCGGGATAAGTATGATTTTTTTTCTTTCTTTTTTGAAAGAAATGAAAACTTTTATTCAGCAAGGATGTGTTAAATTGATAAAAAGTGACAGTAAAGACTTATATGGTTAGAAAAGGTTCCTATTTTGAATAAATGCTGTTCTTTTGAACTTTTTATTCATCAAAGAATCCAGAAAAAAGTATCACATTTTCCAAAAAATACAGTTTCCAACATTGCTAATAAATCAGCATATTAGAATGATTTCTGAAGATCATGTGACACTGAAGACTGGAGGAATGATGCTGAAAATACAGCTGCGCATCACAGAATGGAACAAAGCAGCATTATTTTTCAGCTGTTCAGGTCGTGTTGGAAAGAGCCGGAACTTAAAGTGGTTCTATGTACGATTATGTTTATATGTGAATACAAGCCTATAAAGCAATTATGTCTGTTCAGAAGACTTCAGATTAAACTGCTCGATTCATATCAATTACTCTTATCATGCCTCTTTGCAGCATGTAAGTTTTGGTCGTGTGGTGTTTACCTTGCCGTTCGTGTTTGGTGCTGCATCAAAGCTGTGATTCACTTCTGCTGCCCCATCAATCATCACCCTCTTCTGATAGCCCTGCTCCTTCAGAAACACCAGCTACAAGAAGCCAGAGACCAGCGTTAACATTACTGTAACACTGCCTGTTCTGTGAGGCTGTGATCTGTGTGGTCTCACCTCTTTATGAGCAGCTGTGAGCTGCTCCTCTAGCATGCTGCATCTCTCCAGAGCCACACGCAGACGCTCTCTTACCTGATCAGAACAAACACGCCACACGTAAAGCACACCCCAAACACCCCACTGGCACACACGTGAGCTTCCTGATGCCAGTACCTTCTCATCCAGGGCTTTGTGGTGCTCGAAGAGAGATTTGAGCGCCTTAAGCACCTCCACCTCACTGGAGACGCCGGCGGGAGACTGAGCCTGACGCTTGACTACGGTCATTCTCAGAGAACGCTCGTGACGAGACACCAGACACTCCAGATGCTCCAGCAACAACTGAGATCAGCAGCCAACACAACACAGACCACGCTCAGACTGACATCAAACCAAAGCGTCCAAACAAATCACACTTATCATCATATCAGCCTTCGGAAGCATTGGAAATCCTCCAGAAATTCTCCAAATCCTCATTTTTATGTTTTCATATTTAAAAAAAATCTATGTATGTACATTTATAACACTACACTTTGTATTATAATTCCTTCGCTTCAAATTACAAAGAACTACCGCTGCTGTGAGGCTGCGTCTAATACGCCGTCTATGGGAGTGACCGTAAATTTGTCATCGTTCTGACTCACAGATTTTTTCCTCTTTTTGAAAATCGTGAAAACACTATCATGGAGTTTTGCAAACAATACATCTGTGGTAGTCTCCCATTCACTGCTATAGAAGTTTACCCAACTGTGACGACTTCCACTGTTGAGGAAGCCAGAAATGTGAGAAAGGTCCATTACTGTGATGATGAGGCTAAAATCAGTGCCATTAATGACGGATGATGTTTGATTGTATTATATTGTATATTGTATTTGACTGTCCTCTGGCTTGCTTAGTTGGGGACACTTAATATCCAGCGATATCGTCGACTTGATTGCACAGACACTTTTTTAACTGAACTGAGCTGGATGATGACATCACTGAATTCAATGATGAACAGCCTTTAACTGAACATTGAGTGTTTACTATTGTCCTTCAGCATTATTGACACACTATTTTCCTATTTAATGCAGTACAGTTGCTTTGACACAATCTGTATTGTTAATAGCACTATATAAATAAAGGTGACCTGACTTGACTTGTATTGACAGCATAAACGATCTCCTCCTCTCGCTCCAGCAGCTGCTCTCGACACATATTCACTTCTTTTGTGAGAGCAGCAAATTCCTTCAGTGTGTGAAACACAAGAAAACACGATTTTAAACAGGATTCTGCTTAAAGTGGCACACAGTGATCCATCAACTCAAACAGCACTCAGTGGAATCAGGCAGTCAGCAAGATGAAGCTATTAATCGAAAATTCTTTGTCTATTATTTTCATCAATTACAGCAATTCGTAGTTGCAGCACTATATAACACTATAAAGGAACAATAAAGGACGGGATGACTTTTCTTTGTACCGGTGACAAACACTAAAACATCGACTGCCGATTAAAACTGTTAAGTGCTCGCTGCAGTTACGTTCACAGAGTGATGAACAGACGGTTGGTTTATGCTGTTGGTGAGACAGACACAGATGTGCCAGCGGTTACCTGCGGCAGGGCGCTGTTGAGCTGTCTCTGCAGTGAGTCTCTCTCGTGGCTGATCTCGTGCAGTTTGCTCTGTGTCACACACAGGTTCTCCTGCGTCTCTCGGAGCGTGTCCAGCAGTCGGTCTCTCTCCTCCAGCATAGACACCATCAGAGACTCAAAGTGGCCCTCAGAGTCCGTCTGCACGGGAGAGCCGGGGCCCAGAGCGCCTCCGTTACTGCCGACCTCCGCCTCGCTGATGGTGGGCATCACCTCGCACATCATCTACACACAGACAGCACAGCGTTACCACACTGACACAGACCAGAAGCTCTGGACTAGACGTCAAGTCTTTACATGCTACAAAGACTCTCTGAAGACTGTGTTACTGACTTAGAGTCTGTGAAGTTCCTGGACAGAGAGAGTGAGCGAGCGACAGAGGACAGTAATAAAAACAAAAAACAAATAAATAAATAAATAAATCTTTTTTTTTTTTACTTGCCCACTTTGTTTTTATTATAGCTTGTTTGCTGTAGTGGCTGTTAGGAAGAATTAAATAACTCTGAAATAGTAGAAATATTTTGGTAAAGTGATGTAATTAATGTGGCCAAGCATTCAACAAAGTAGTGGAATAACGACATTTAACGAACAGACAGAATATCAGATCAGTAACAGACAGAAGATCAGACTCTTAACAGACAGAAGATCAGACACGCAACAGATAGAAGATCAGACACGTAACAGATAGAAGATCAGACACGTAAACAGACAGAAACAGTAACAGACAGAAGATCAGACACATAACAGATAGAAGATCAGACAGCTAACAGACAGTAGATCAGACACGTAACAGACAGAAGATCAGACAGCTAACAGACAGAAGATCAGACAGCTAACAGACAGAAGATCAGACAGCTAACAGACAGAAGATCAGACAGCTAACAGACAGAAGATCAGACAGCTAACAGACAGAAGATCAGACAGCTAACAGACAGAAGATCAGACAGCTAACAGACAGAAGATCAGACAGCTAACAGACAGAAGATCAGACAGCTAACAGACAGAAGATCAGACAGCTAACAGACAGAAGATCAGACAGCTAACAGACAGAAGATCAGACAGCTAACAGACAGAAGATCAGACAGCTAACAGACAGAAGATCAGACAGCTAACAGACAGAAGATCAGACAGCTAACAGACAGAAGATCAGACAGCTAACAGACAGAAGATCAGACAGCTAACAGACAGAAGATCAGACAGCTAACAGACAGAAGATCAGACAGCTAACAGACAGAAGATCAGACAGCTAACAGACAGAAGATCAGACAGCTAACAGACAGAAGATCAGACAGCTAACAGACAGAAGATCAGACAGCTAACAGACAGAAGATCAGACAGCTAACAGACAGAAGATCAGACAGCTAACAGACAGAAGATCAGACAGCTAACAGACAGAAGATCAGACAGCTAACAGACAGAAGATCAGACAGCTAACAGACAGAAGATCAGACAGCTAACAGACAGAAGATCAGACAGCTAACAGACAGAAGATCAGACAGCTAACAGACAGAAGATCAGACAGCTAACAGACAGAAGATCAGACAGCTAACAGACAGAAGATCAGACAGCTAACAGACAGAAGATCAGACAGCTAACAGACAGAAGATCAGACAGCTAACAGACAGAAGATCAGACAGCTAACAGACAGAAGATCAGACAGCTAACAGACAGAAGATCAGACAGCTAACAGACAGAAGATCAGACAGCTAACAGACAGAAGATCAGACAGCTAACAGACAGAAGATCAGACAGCTAACAGACAGAAGATCAGACAGCTAACAGACAGAAGATCAGACAGCTAACAGACAGAAGATCAGACAGCTAACAGACAGAAGATCAGACAGCTAACAGACAGAAGATCAGACAGCTAACAGACAGAAGATCAGACAGCTAACAGACAGAAGATCAGACAGCTAACAGACAGAAGATCAGACAGCTAACAGACAGAAGATCAGACAGCTAACAGACAGAAGATCAGACAGCTAACAGACAGAAGATCAGACAGCTAACAGACAGAAGATCAGACAGCTAACAGACAGAAGATCAGACAGCTAACAGACAGAAGATCAGACAGCTAACAGACAGAAGATCAGACAGCTAACAGACAGAAGATCAGACAGCTAACAGACAGAAGATCAGACAGCTAACAGACAGAAGATCAGACAGCTAACAGACAGAAGATCAGACAGCTAACAGACAGAAGATCAGACAGCTAACAGACAGAAGATCAGACAGCTAACAGACAGAAGATCAGACAGCTAACAGACAGAAGATCAGACAGCTAACAGACAGAAGATCAGACAGCTAACAGACAGAAGATCAGACAGCTAACAGACAGAAGATCAGACAGCTAACAGACAGAAGATCAGACAGCTAACAGACAGAAGATCAGACAGCTAACAGACAGAAGATCAGACAGCTAACAGACAGAAGATCAGACAGCTAACAGACAGAAGATCAGACAGCTAACAGACAGAAGATCAGACAGCTAACAGACAGAAGATCAGACAGCTAACAGACAGAAGATCAGACAGCTAACAGACAGAAGATCAGACAGCTAACAGACAGAAGATCAGACAGCTAACAGACAGAAGATCAGACAGCTAACAGACAGAAGATCAGACAGCTAACAGACAGAAGATCAGACAGCTAACAGACAGAAGATCAGACAGCTAACAGACAGAAGATCAGACAGCTAACAGACAGAAGATCAGACAGCTAACAGACAGAAGATCAGACAGCTAACAGACAGAAGATCAGACAGCTAACAGACAGAAGATCAGACAGCTAACAGACAGAAGATCAGACAGCTAACAGACAGAAGATCAGACAGCTAACAGACAGAAGATCAGACAGCTAACAGACAGAAGATCAGACAGCTAACAGACAGAAGATCAGACAGCTAACAGACAGAAGATCAGACAGCTAACAGACAGAAGATCAGACAGCTAACAGACAGAAGATCAGACAGCTAACAGACAGAAGATCAGACAGCTAACAGACAGAAGATCAGACAGCTAACAGACAGAAGATCAGACAGCTAACAGACAGAAGATCAGACAGCTAACAGACAGAAGATCAGACAGCTAACAGACAGAAGATCAGACAGCTAACAGACAGAAGATCAGACAGCTAACAGACAGAAGATCAGACAGCTAACAGACAGAAGATCAGACAGCTAACAGACAGAAGATCAGACAGCTAACAGACAGAAGATCAGACAGCTAACAGACAGAAGATCAGACAGCTAACAGACAGAAGATCAGACAGCTAACAGACAGAAGATCAGACAGCTAACAGACAGAAGATCAGACAGCTAACAGACAGAAGATCAGACAGCTAACAGACAGAAGATCAGACAGCTAACAGACAGAAGATCAGACAGCTAACAGACAGAAGATCAGACAGCTAACAGACAGAAGATCAGACAGCTAACAGACAGAAGATCAGACAGCTAACAGACAGAAGATCAGACAGCTAACAGACAGAAGATCAGACAGCTAACAGACAGAAGATCAGACAGCTAACAGACAGAAGATCAGACAGCTAACAGACAGAAGATCAGACAGCTAACAGACAGAAGATCAGACAGCTAACAGACAGAAGATCAGACAGCTAACAGACAGAAGATCAGACAGCTAACAGACAGAAGATCAGACAGCTAACAGACAGAAGATCAGACAGCTAACAGACAGAAGATCAGACAGCTAACAGACAGAAGATCAGACAGCTAACAGACAGAAGATCAGACAGCTAACAGACAGAAGATCAGACAGCTAACAGACAGAAGATCAGACAGCTAACAGACAGAAGATCAGACAGCTAACAGACAGAAGATCAGACAGCTAACAGACAGAAGATCAGACAGCTAACAGACAGAAGATCAGACAGCTAACAGACAGAAGATCAGACAGCTAACAGACAGAAGATCAGACAGCTAACAGACAGAAGATCAGACAGCTAACAGACAGAAGATCAGACAGCTAACAGACAGAAGATCAGACAGCTAACAGACAGAAGATCAGACAGCTAACAGACAGAAGATCAGACAGCTAACAGACAGAAGATCAGACAGCTAACAGACAGAAGATCAGACAGCTAACAGACAGAAGATCAGACAGCTAACAGACAGAAGATCAGACAGCTAACAGACAGAAGATCAGACAGCTAACAGACAGAAGATCAGACAGCTAACAGACAGAAGATCAGACAGCTAACAGACAGAAGATCAGACAGCTAACAGACAGAAGATCAGACAGCTAACAGACAGAAGATCAGACAGCTAACAGACAGAAGATCAGACAGCTAACAGACAGAAGATCAGACAGCTAACAGACAGAAGATCAGACAGCTAACAGACAGAAGATCAGACAGCTAACAGACAGAAGATCAGACAGCTAACAGACAGAAGATCAGACAGCTAACAGACAGAAGATCAGACAGCTAACAGACAGAAGATCAGACAGCTAACAGACAGAAGATCAGACAGCTAACAGACAGAAGATCAGACAGCTAACAGACAGAAGATCAGACAGCTAACAGACAGAAGATCAGACAGCTAACAGACAGAAGATCAGACAGCTAACAGACAGAAGATCAGACAGCTAACAGACAGAAGATCAGACAGCTAACAGACAGAAGATCAGACAGCTAACAGACAGAAGATCAGACAGCTAACAGACAGAAGATCAGACAGCTAACAGACAGAAGATCAGACAGCTAACAGACAGAAGATCAGACAGCTAACAGACAGAAGATCAGACAGCTAACAGACAGAAGATCAGACAGCTAACAGACAGAAGATCAGACAGCTAACAGACAGAAGATCAGACAGCTAACAGACAGAAGATCAGACAGCTAACAGACAGAAGATCAGACAGCTAACAGACAGAAGATCAGACAGCTAACAGACAGAAGATCAGACAGCTAACAGATAGTAGATCAGACACGCAACAGACAGAAGATCAGACACGCAACAGATAGAAGATCAGACACGTAACAGACAGAAACAGTAACAGACTGAAGATCAGCACAAGTGTTTATTTACCTTGATTTTGAGCAGGGTATATGTCTCTTCTTCTCTACTGTATCCAGTTCAATCACAGCTAACACATTTAAAATATCAACTATGACGCAAATTATTCGTCAAGCCATAAAACCTAACGAATCACTTTTTTTTAATTATCTGACGAAGAATAAGGGAAAAAAATAAAGAAAATAAGCGAGGCCTTTATAATGAATGAGAACATCACTCATTAACGTTACTAGAGATCTGAGTGTTTAATGATGGAGAAGACATCACTGATCAAAGACCTCCGTCAGATTCCCACTGCCATTAATACACTCAAATATACACATAAATCATATCAATACCAACATACTCATATATAAATAAACTCCAATAGCGGCCTGCGCTAGTTAGCATTAGCAGCTACAGTAAGAAGAATCTAAATTATCCTCATGAAAGCGCAAGAATAAAACAATTTAGCCTTTAAAATAAACACTTAACGCCGACGTTTGATGACGTGCTATTAAATTATAAATTAACGCAACACGTTTATTAGAGTGAATTATTCTGACGTGTCACCATCTGATCCATGAGGAAAAACACCGGGATAAAAGTACAAATCGACCACTTTAAAAGCACAAAGCGCCCTTCAAACGACACTATCCGCAAGAAAAGTCTTTCGTCGGTCGGTTCGAGGGCGAAAAACAACAACTAATGCAGAAAAAAAGAGTTAAAACGAAATGTACAGCGAGAGTTTGTCGCTGCTCCAGTTTCCTGCGCTCGCGAGAGCTCGGGACGTGCTGACGTCACGACGCAATCCCCGAATCCCAGAAGCCTGTGCTCTCCGGCGTGATGTTTCAGTTATCATAAACGTCGTGATTTGGTTTTATATACTTCATGTAAATAGTGCATGCATAAATGTCGGTGATTTGCGGTTTTTCAAGGTAAAGCTCATTATAGTCCGAGTCCTCTGTAACTAGAAAAAAAAACATACAAACTAATCAAAATGAACTGACGATCTAATTACAAGTAGGCTACTTAATTTTTGGAATCTGATGACGTAATCCAGATGACAGTTAATCGGTTCTACCCAGCGCTGTCCCAGACTGACCACGTGACACAGTATGGACAAAGGGACGAGCACATTGAATTCGAATAATAATGTCGGTGATTTGCGGTTTTTCAAAGTAAAGCTCATTATAGTCCGAGTCCTCTGTAACTAGAAAAAAAAACATACTCAAACTAATCAAAATGAACTGACGATCTAATTACAAGTAGGCTACTTAATTTTTGGAATCTGATGACGTAATCCAGATGACAGTTAATCGGTTCTACCCAGCGCTGTCCCAGACTGACCACGTGACACAGTATGGACAAAGGGACGAGCACATTGAATTCGAATAATATTGAATTAAAAATCAAATAATAATATCGAATAAAAAAAGTCACCTCAGGCTGTTTCCACAGGTTTAGAGTTTGCTATTTTGACAACGCGTTTACTGATTCAAACAGACAAAAACAGTGTTTAAAAGCCATTTGATTCTCTTTTGGTAAGAAAAGAAACGCCACAAATTTGACAAAATAATAAAAAAGTTTCAGACTAACCTCAACCACACTGCCTTATTTGTATATAAAACACTGTAATGTCCAGTAACTAATTATATAAACAATAATACAACATAAAAGGCGATAATTGCAGAAAGAACGATCTTCACCAGTGGGCGGCGCTCTCGTCACAGCAAAGGGCGGGGCCTGTGTTAATGGAGGCGGGGTCTATCGTGAGTGGGCGTGTCTTCATTGTGTGTCATGTCTGCTTGTGTTTCTTCTTCTTCTTCTGCTGTGTTCTGTGGCGCCACGTTGATCGAGCGATCATCATCAGACCGCAGGTAACACCTGAACACGAGCGAAAACAGATGAAATCACGCAGTGCTGCTCACAGTCTGTCTGATTATAGTGTCTCTTTCGCGCTTTTTGAACTTTTTTAACGTGGTGCTGTGTGTTAGCAATGCTAACTGTGCTTGTAAAGTGATCAGCACGAATATCTGCGATTAATCAAGTGTTTATGAGCGTTATTAAGTGTGTTTCTCCTGCTGTATTTTTATAACTTGTTTATTAATAAGTTTATGGATCAGCCGAGTTTCTGAATAACAACGCGACACGTGTCAGTGAAGAAGACCTCGTTTTGTTATTGTTGTTATTATGGATTATTATTCAGCTATTGTAGTTTAAACTGTTCTGCAGTTAACATTAGTCTGTCATAAAGTGACCCATCTGAATAAAGGAGAAATGAAGCGAGCGGTTTGTGTGTGAAATGAGTCATATTTGAGAAGAAGTGAGACTAAAGCAGCATGGTTTTGGTTTTGTCTGCTGTATTAAAATGATCCATCATATCCCTCCAAACCTTGCTTCTGTAAAAGAAGAGATTTTGAAGAATGTTGGGAACCAAACCATTTAAGGTTGTCCTTCATTGTGTGGACAAAAGCTAGACATACAGGTGCCAGAGTAAATTATAGCAATAATAGTTTTGATGTTTAGGGCTGGCAAAAAGTCAGGGTGATAGCATAATGAAGAAAATACCTCACTAAAAGACTAAAACTATCATTTCTGTAACAAAACTGTCTTATTAATATTTGAAACACTTGAGTTTGTCTGCCAGATTACAGTGGTGTGGTGCAGACGTCATCATCAGACCGGTTTATATCACAAGTCAAGGTTAGTTATAAAATATCATGTAGTGCAACTCCATAAAAGCATCATATTTGTGAATTGATAGTCTGATAAATGTAAAATATGTTTTATGAAATTGTTGGTAAACATCAAGAGCGACGCGTGTGGTATCATTTCTTTATTATGGACACTCCACAAATGAATAAAGAACGATATTTTGACAGCATTTACTAATTTTGGTTAATGTTCACTTCTGAATCTACTTAAACATGTATGACATTTGAGAGTGCATGAATTAACATTGGTTAATGCATTATGAACAAACAAGCATGAATTACAAGTGAACACTAGTACAGTATATTGATCAGTTCACCTGAACCTAGATTGAGATTTAAAACATTGTAGTTTTAGAGGTTGTGTTACTACACCGTTTTGTTGCTTTAAAACCCTAATAAAATAGCATGGAAAGGTTGATTTGAGACGAGTAACTGGACTTTATTAATGTGGAAGAGATTGTGTTGTCTTTACAATAGTGTTAAATGATGGAAAAGTGTGTGTGTTTGTCTTGTCACTCGTGTTTCTCTCTGCAGCTTCACTGCTTTAGTGTGCATTCGTTTACTCTCTTCCTGTGTGTGTGCGTGTGTTTGTGTGTGTGTGTGCGTTTGTGTGTCCGTGCGTGTGTGTGTGTTTGTGTGTGCGTGCGTGTATTGGTCGGTTTCTCCTCCTCCTCTCTCCATCATCACCATCAGTCTGTCAGCCTCTGGTCGTTTGCTCACTGTTTCTCGGCTCGTGACGTCACTGAGTGTTTGCTGAGCTTTTGTCTTGACCTGAACACTCGCTCTGGTCTGCAGCGCTCCGCATCGGATCGGGTCAGGCAGACGCACGCGGCGCTGGTGGCACCGAGTCCTCATGTAAGTAGCCCATCCTCCACCGCTGCTTTCTTTATCCTGCATGCATTGTGCTCTGGCGCTCGTCTGCCTCAGGCGTTTCTGTGCGTTTGCTGTGTGTTGTGCTGGATGTGAAGGCCAGGCTGTGTTAGATTCCCCTTACATAAACAAAGTGATGCGCTCGCACACCTGCGCGTCTGCTCTTAATCAGCATCTCGCCTGACCCGAGTCTTCTGGCTGATGTTCTCTCAGAGCTGACGAGCGTCCAGATAAACGCTCAAATACACAGCATCGCTTCGTCTGCTCATTTAGTGATGTTTTGTGAGTTTGAGGCCTGCTTCACTGAACATCCTCAACGCTGTGCTTTTGCAGTTATTCTCCCAGACTTCCTGTTGTGCTGTTTAAAGCATGTGAATGCTGTGTTTGTGTGTTATTCATCATACGGTACCAGCATATCACAAGCACTCTTTTAGAGATATGTGTGTGTTTGTGTGGCTGATGCTCAGTTCATCGTTTTTTGAGAGAGAAATTCAAGCACTTTTCAGTGACTTTCAAGTATCTCACACAACTATTTCTCTAAAGCTCTAAAAAGGATCCAATTTAAATGTTATGTTTAATGGAATGACAAAAATATACAAACAATATTTGGCAAACAAATAATTAGGCTATTTAAAATAAAAAAAGACATCAAATTTCACAATAACAAGCAGATGGCAGCAGAGGAGCACTTATTGGCTTATTATTCCTTCATTTCCACTTTTTTGCTTTATATTTTGATATTATAAAATCATTATTATAAAATATCAAATCAGCAAGAAAATTAATTTTGTCAAAAGTTTTGCGCATTTTTTGCGTATGAAGTAAGAAAAGTCACAAAGTGCCTTGAAAAAACACAAACTTTGCTTTAATTTGCGACAGAATCACAGAGCGCTCCTTTTATAATCACTGAAGTTGTCGGTCAGTTCAGTATAATACTATAGAAGAATAATGGTACATTTAATAGGAGTAGAATATAAAAATTTTCCATATAAAAATTTGATTCTGCATTTTACTGTTCTTAATAAATTTTGTGTGCTTCCCAACTCCAACTCGGTGCTTTACTGTCAAATGTACATTACCAAGAAATAAATGTGTAGTTTTATTAGTAGCTGCACTTACCAGTGCAAAACAATAGTAATTTTATGATTAAATTATCTTTATTTTTAATACTTCCACACAACACCATCACCCAAAGCGCTGGTGCCACCGCTCCCAAATGTTAGTCTGGAGCCCTGATTTATGATTCAGTCTGTTTCTGAGCACATGCAGGCTGATCATTGATTCATGTTTTTTTTTTTTTGGTGTTTTTGACAACTCTCGTAAAATGAGAGCACGCATTCGTAAGCGGTTTCAATGCCCTGTATATTAGAAGCAGCTCCCTGATGCCCGCAATTTAGTATAATTACCCAACGATATATTTGCGAGAGAAACTATTGAAATATTTTTTTTATCCTCCCATCTCGTAGGCTTTATTCCCTTTAGGGGTTCCGTAGTACACTTAATTTCCTTTCCAAACACGGTATTGGGATGCGGCGGATTGCGGAGGGTATGGGGGGGATCACAATGCCGGCTCAACATCGTGATGTCTGTCAGCCATCGGCGATGGACAATGGCATCGTCAATCGGCCCAACCCTAGCTGATTTGCTACTCAAGAAACATTTCTGATTGTTATCAATGTTGAAAACAGTTGTGCTGCACAATATTTTTGTCAAAACTGTGATACATTTTGTTTTTCAGGATTCACAGATGAATAGAAATTTCTAAAGAACAACATTCATTTGAAATAGAAATCTTTTGAAACATTATAAATGTTTTACTGTCACTTTTGATCAATTTACTGCATCCTTAATGAGTAAAAGTATTATTTTCTTTAAAACATAACATTTACTGACCCCATATCATATGATGGGTAGTTTGATTGGACTGGTCTGATGGGTAGTTTTTATTGTTGGACTGATCTGATGGGTAATTTTTATTGTTGGACTGGTCTGATGGGTAGTTTTTATTGTTGGACTGGTCTGATGGGTAGTTTTTATTGTTGGACTGGTCTGATGGGTAGTTTGATTACTGGTCTGATGGTTAGTTTGTAGGGGTGTGACGATAAATTGGTTCGTGGATAGATTCTGCGATTATCCGAATGCATCGCAAATCTCTCTGGAACTGATTATGAGCTTAGTTTTTAACAGCAGATGGCACCGTGTACTTTAGAAACAGCCGTACTGTGCTTGTTTCCAGTTCTTACACACAACTTGAACCTAAAATAATCAATCATAAAGTTTGAAAATTTTGAAGCGAATTACAAGAGTGTTCGCAGTGATCTGTGTTTACATTAATCTCACGTCATAAAAACATAAAAGCTGAGGTTCAAGTACATTTAACCACTTACATTACTCAGCCGAATGCACAAGCACTCTTTTTCGTGAGCTGTGCGGTTAAAAACTAGCTTAGAGTGCCATCTGCTGTTAAAACTAAGATCATAATCCGTTCCAGAGAGAATCACGATTCAGAAAGCATTCAGAAAGTCGCAGAATCGATCCACGAATCGATTTATCGTCGCACCCCTAGTAGTTTGATTGTTGGGCTGGTCTGACGGGTAGTTTGGTTGTCGGTCTGGTCTGATGGGTAGTTTGGCTGTAGGTCTGGTCTGATGGGTAGTTTGGCTGTAGGTCTGGTCTGACGGGTAGTTTGGTTGTCGGTCTGGTCTGACGGGTAGTTTGGTTGCCGGACTGGTCTGACGGGTAGTTTGGTTGTCGGTCTGGTCTGATGGGTAGTTTGGTTGCCGGACTGGTCTGACGGGGAGTTTGAGCTCGTTTCCCAGTGTTGAGTGGTGTTGGTGAATGTGGCCTGTATCAGCGGTCTTCATGAATAGAGCGTCTGTGTTGGAGTGGCTCTCTCAGCTGAATGAATGAGCGCAGCTGCTGTCAGACGGCCGCCGTGTGTTTGACTGAGTGAAACTGAGTATCTGTTAGACCGATCATCAGTCAGATGTGCCATCAAATGATCTCCTGTCACTCTCATTGACTGAAAGGGAATGCTCACACAAAAATAAACGTCCCATCATCACGCTTTTTCAAACCCACGAGACCTTCTTTCTTCTGCGGAACATAGAAGATATTTTGAAGAATGATTCAACTGCTTTTGTCTGTACAGTGAAATCTTCTTTTGTGTTTAACAGAAGAAAGACAGTGGTACAGATTTAAAACATCATGAGGGAGAGTAAATGATGATAGAAGGGTGATTTTCCTCTCATTGGGTTGTGTGATCTGCTGTCTGTCTCTTCATTCAGATGTGATAGTGCTGCTGAAATGATGGGAGACCTGCAGCTGCAACAACTCATAGAAAACAATAATGAGGATAATCAACATTCAGTTTGATTATACATTGATATACATGTAACTCAAGTATTGTTATGAGAGCAGTGACAGTGAATGGACTTTTGTAATGTGATGTAAATGTAATATAATTACTATGTTTAGATGATTGTGTGTGTGCTCCTCGTACAAGTTAATATTTAGTCTGCTTTTGTTTTAATCATTTTCAAATGAGTGATTTTAACTTCTACTTTAAACTGTTTTTAACCCTATTTTGCATGTAATGTATAACACAAATTACATAGATACATTCACTGTATTTGTCTTTATAGTCTTCATATTCCACATTGTTTGGAGGACAACACTGGGCAGGATGTAGAATAATATCTTTGTTAATAATTGACTAAATTAATTAATTGTTACTTATTTTTTTAATACATTTTTGGGAGATTTTTCATCTGATTAATTGATTAATCAACGAAAAAGCTGACAGGTTAATGGTTAGTTGCAGCTGTATTGATCACACGGACAGATTGACAGGTGCAGTGATGTTCGCTCGTCTCACTGACTTCATGTCTTTATTCAGTCTTCCCAGAATGCATCTGGATGGGACAGATTTCAGAATCATTCGTCTGCTGTGACAGGAAGTGCTCAACAGATCAGCTGATATCCTCACAGGCAAATAGTTATGATATTCATATTGTTTTCTGGCTAGTCGTATTTATTGGCATTTGAAAACAGGAAGTGATGTCGTGACACTCATCAGGTGTGAATGGTGAGTATTAGAGGATTGACGTGAATGTCTGGCTGAGGAAGCATACGGTGGTTGTGTTGGGATGTGCTGGTTCAGTTTTGAAGTGTTATTCCAGCATTATAGCACTGTGAAGGTGAGATGAACGCGTCGTGTGTTTTCAGAACTTCATATACATGACAGTCACTGAGAATCAATGCGCTGGATTCAGTATAAGGAATGTTTCTCAGTTATTCTGTCTGTCTCGTGTCTGTGGGCTCGCTGTCTCAGTGTGGATGTGATGCGTTTGTTCCTCTCACCTGCTGCTCCCGTCCTTCTGTCTAAACCCGTCTGTTTTGGTGTTTTCTCTGCAGTGAGCATGTTCCTCAACACTCTGACCCCTAAGTTTTATGTGGCGCTGACGGGCACCTCATCCCTCATTTCTGGACTCATACTGGTGAGTTAGATTCACTCCTGTCAAATACTCTAGAATGAAGTGACTTCATACATATAATCATATATATAATCTTTTCCTTGCAATTTAATATCCAAATTGATTCTGTATTTATCAAGTTAGAATCATTACAGAAATTATTTGTTGAGTTAGTTATTGAAGGGAGCAGCTGAATATATTATTGAGTGTTATTGTTCAGACAGACCTTTGAACCTGTGATGATGATGATGAAGGGCGTGTGTCTCTGTGCTGCAGATCTTCGAGTGGTGGTACTTCAGGAAGTATGGGACGTCCTTCATCGAGCAGGTGTCTGTCAGTCATCTGCGTCCTCTGTTAGGTGGAGTTGATAACAGCTTGCCCAACAGCTCCAGCAGCAGCAGCAGTAACGGAGACGCCGACTCCAGCCGGCAGAGTGTGTCAGGTTAGCCTGCGTTACTGAATAAACATGAGAAAACTTTCTAAGAAACACATGAACCTGCTCCTCGGAAGAACTCCAGTCTGACATTAACACACTGTGGTTAGCTGCTCATCAATCACTTACTAGGTGAACTCAAACACAGTCAGCGTGTATTTGCTAATGTTTCGTGTGTGTGTGTGTGTTTAGAGTGTAAGGTTTGGCGAAATCCTCTCAATCTGTTCAGAGGAGCTGAATATAACCGGTGAGTGAACGTCTCTGAGCCTCTTCAGTGCTTCATTTGATGCAAAAGCAAGCCTGAATCTTTACCTGTCTAGTAAATGCTGTTAGTAACTGTGTTAGAATCAGGGCTGCACATTTTTTTGTCTCTTTCTGAATTGTGAGCTGCATTGAGATGCTGATGTGAATGTGTTCGCTGCAGATACACGTGGGTGACGGGAAGAGAGCCGCTCACATACTACGACATGAATCTGTCGGCACAAGATCATCAGACCTTCTTCACGTGTGATTCTGATCACCTGCGGCCTGCAGACGCCAGTAAGTGCAGCATTACCTTCCACATCCCGAGCATTCAGTACACTGTCAGTGTCTGGAGGACCTGTGGCTAAGAGTGTGTGTGTGTGTGTGTGTGTGTGTGTGTGTGTGTGTTCTGACAGTAATGCAGAAGGCCTGGAGAGAGAGGAATCCTCAGGCTCGGATCACAGCCGCTCATGAAGCTCTGGATCTGGAGGAGTGAGTGTGTTTCTGTGCTGACAGACGTGAGCTCACTCACTCACTGATAGCTTAGCTAGATTAATCTACACATATTTCTCCATCAGATATTTCCTGTGGCTTGTGAAATACGTATGTGCTGCTGTAATGCTCTATCAGCATGTTTAATTCTTCGTTGTTGTCCTGTGCAAATGTCAGTGTAAATGTGTGTGTAAAGGTCAGGAATGTTTAGTGTTGAATCTGTTGTGTGTGTTGTAGTTGTGCGACGGCGTATATTCTTCTGGCTGAGGAAGAAGCCACGACGATCGTGGAGGCAGAGAAACTCTTCAAACAGGCGCTGAAGATCGGAGAGAGCTGCTACCGGCGCAGCCAACAACTACAGCATCACGGAGCACAGTATGAAGCCCAGCACAGTGAGTACACACGCACACACACACACACTCACAGACTCACTCACTCACTCACACTCACTCACTCACTCACTCACTCACTCACTCACTCACTCACTCACTCACACACTCAC